CAAGGAACTCCAACGGGAGTTCTGGGCTCTCAAGCGGGAGTTGGAGGAAATGCGGGCTGCCCTGGCGATTCAGACCTTCCACAGGGAGTTTTGTGCGAAGCAACTCGGCGGCGGGACCGAGTCGACCTACCGGCGAATTGTTTTCCCCGGGGTGGAGGGTCGGATCGCCTGGGACATGCCCGGCGGGGGCATCTGGCCACATTGCCAGGCGGTGGAGAGCCCGGCGACTCTGGGGGGGGGGTTGTAGGCAAGGGTGGAGCAGGTGGGGCTCCTGTGCTTATTCATTGTATTTTTTTATCTCCTGTATTCTACTCTTGTAGAATTATTAAATGTGCACCGGCGTGCTTCATTTCCCCAAAGCGCCCTGCAACAAATATTTTTTTCCGACCGTATTGCCTATAGCTCACCATGAATATTCCCACCACAGAGTTAAAAAAATTAAGAATGTGGACCAGCAGTCCAGTTACTAGAGGGCCACTCGGAAGCATTCCTTTTTCTGTTCAAAGGATTCCGTTGTCTAGCGATTTATTTCTCTTATGTGGCGTGTTGTTTTCTCCAATAATCTCCTACTCTCTTAGGGCCCGCTTACCTAACAGTTCCGTTACGGAAATTTGTATGGTGGGCTGGAGCAGTAGACCACCGTCAACTCAGGGCTGTGTTTCAACTGACGGTGCCAAACGTGTTTACCTAATTTTCAACCGTCAAGAATTTTGGGTGCTTGACAGTCAAAATGAAAAGGTGCTCCAGAGGTGCGGTAGCAACACCGTCACCCTCAAAAATTGATGCATTGTCACTATGCCTCTGACCAGTTATGCCCACAATCGCCATACCACCAGTGCCAATCCTCTGCATTCTCTGCTCCAGTAGTTCTAGGATAAATATATCACAATTGAAACCATTGCCGACTATCATTAAGGTTTTAGCTTAGCATGGTACTATGAGATTTGGGCTATGATGTCAAAACAACTAAAAAAGAGCTACAAGAATAGGTGGAAGGAATCATGAAGAGCCATTGCAGGTGGTATGTGAGGGATATAGGCTGGGTCCAATATTTTACTTGGTCGGCAGTGCTTGAAAGGGAGGGGGGGTTGGGAATTGTGAGTTCAAAGGCCCTCATATTGTATTTCGTAAAATTTTTGATTCACTCTCTGACGGTAAGGCCCATGTTGCAGTATGGTAGACGGTGCATTAGGTAAACACAGAATGAGAATTTAGCCCCTAACCGCTACTGACCGTTAAGACACTCTTGACGGTTGCCACCGTCAACACATGCTAAACGGTCATCTGTAGGTATCATAGACGGGCCCTTAGTATGCGTACGGCCGGCCCACCTGAGGAGACTCCGATCATTCTTCCGGGGAACGGGTTATCTAGTTTATATCCGGGCTGGGCAACCGATACACCATTATCCCGGGGAAGGCGATTCCATGAAAAACCATTCTTTGTCCCGCTTGTAAGTATAGCACCGGTATTTCCTGCAGCCAGTGTCCCCGAAACTCATGGCTATCCTAAATCGCTGCACGGACCGAACGCTTTCTATCGCAGTCCCTACGGCCATCTTGCCGATATCAAATTCAGAGGCCTCCCCCATTCTTACACTTTCTTTTACAGCCAGAGAATGGAGTGAGTGAAGGGCTGAAAGTGGGCATTACTCGTACACTGTCGCTCGATTACGACAACACCCAACTGGCCTGTGGTTCCACGTTGTTTCCCTATCCTACCCATGGATTGTATTCAGCTCTACCTGTATCATTTTGATAGGAAATTCTCGCGGGTTCTTTCCCACCGCACGTAGGTACGCCGATGTAAGTTCGGTCGATTTTAGGATGGCCGTGGCTTGGTTATTCTTATGTGGCTGGGGTGTTGTGTCTCTTGTGGCGAAAAACGTGGGATTAAGCTAAGGTCATGTGAGCGCCCTGACTTGAAGGTAGGGTCGCCGTTTACTCGTATTGAGAAATGTAGCTGGCAAGTGGCTAAGGGCACCTGCGGGATGGGGTAGATAGAGCACGCCGCTGTCCTTGTCCCTGTCTCAACATTATTTGATAGGTTTAACTTTCTGTTTCCAGGAATTGCGCTTTTTGGGGTTGCAGGATGTTGAAAAACACCGGCGCTCATGCAATCCTGTATTAGTCCTTCTTCCATAGTGGTACAGAGGTTTCACACTAGCAGAGATTTCCCTGCTAGTATTCATTGTTGTTGTATTCTAGGTTTCAGCAGTGCAACGGAAAGAAGGTACGGGGGATATGACAAGGAGTGCTCGGAAGTCATTGGTCATGCTCGGTCAAGGTGGAGGACCTCGGAACAGCTGATCGAGAATAGCCAGCCCCCCCCCGGAGAAAAGATTGTTGGACATTAAGGACTCTTGCGTGAGTGGATAGGAAGTGAATTGCTCTATATAAACCCTCTTGCGCATCCATAGAAGAAGCAGGCGAGCACAAGATACAATCTATCTTATCAAATTTATTCTTTCCTCAAACCTTTATCCTCCTCCTCACCCATACGCAGAGTCTCATAATAATATCCACGGGGGTCACAATTACGCGACCGGAGGTACAACAGTCAGCGTTGCAACCAATGTATCTCAACTCAATAAACCCAACAATGAAACAAAAACAGTTGTGGTAAAACAATGACAATAACAGAAATTAACACCTGGTATATCACCCAATGGGCTCAATCGCAGCCTTTATCCTCTGGGGTATACTCCTTGCTAAACTGTCAAATGAATCAGAGTACAATAGTTCAGAATGTGCGATGGCTGTTGCAAGGGCAAGTTTCGGGGGTTTTGCTAATTGGTACATGTGTTGCAACGTTGACTGTTGTACCTCCAGTCGCGTAATTGTGACCCCCGTGGATACATATACATAACCCCACCCGGTCACGCCTTCCCCACCCCCTCCTACTTCTACACCACCCCCCTAGGCCCCGGTGCCCCACTCTCACCTACTTCTACACAACCCCGCCCAGCCCACATCCCTCACGCTTTCCTACACAACCCCCCCCCAGAGTCGCCGGGCTCTCCACCGCCTGGCAATGTAGCCAGATGCCCCCGCGGGGCATGTCCCAGGCCATCCGACCCTCCACCACGGGGAAAACAATTCGGGGGTAAGCTGACTCGGTCCCGCCCTCGAGTCGCTCCTCGCAAAACTCCCAGTGGAAGGGCTTATTGTAAATCACCGGCACTCCAATTGACTTAGGCCCTGTTTGGTTGCGCTGGTCCCATTCAGGACCGTTCCAGTGTGAAATGGTTGGACCCGTGCAAACGGTCGTTGTCCATTCAACACCACTCACTTCCAATGAACACCCTGAACCCTTTTTGACTGCAAAAAAATTAAAAAAGTGTTATTGAGCCTCTTGAAAAAATTCAATAATGTATCTAATCCTTCTCAAATTCATACCTTTGACCCCCTGCCAACAGCATTCCTGTATCTGCATATAGGGAATGATCTTCAGATTGAGATGCCATTGAATCAAAGAATATTTTAAAATGCCTTTCTGATATGATTGATGTCTAAGGAAGTTATTCTATAGGCAAATAATGGTTGTCCTGGTGTTGTGAATATTTACATTCATAGGGCAACTGTTGCATTAGGGCTGTAGTGAAATGGAATTGTCGGTACCTTTTACCATTGCCAAACAGCCATTTCATTCTTCCATTTCGAAATGGAAGGGAAATGGGCGTTTGTATATAACGACGAAATGGGACCAGCGCAACCAAACAGGGCCTTACCAATTCCAATCATGATCGGAAGCGACAGAAAGGAATACCGGAAGTAGGTCTGGAGAGTATGGAATCTTTGTTATTTCTTTTTTCATGCTTATCAGAGGATTTGCAAGAAGAGGTAGAAGGTTCTAGGAGGTAGAGCGGGGGAATATTGCGGGTGGTAGGGAAATTATGTAGCACATGGTTCATAAAGGATCAGTGATTGGCTGAAAGACATGGGTGGATAAGAAGCGGAGAGAAGCCAAGAGAAAAGAGGGGAAAAAGCAGGGTTTGATTGATCGGCGGCTATGAGCTGATTGAAGTCTGGAACACCGTAAGAGTATCCAGTGAAAGGAGGCGGTTCTGCATTGTATATAAGGGAGCGGATTTGACTATGAAGAAAAAGGAGAGATAAGATATGAATCAAGACAACTAGCGGACAAGAGAAACAACTTCCAAAACTACGCACGAAGATTCAAGTTCAAATCGCGAATTATAAAAGGTCTGAATCGCCAGGGCAGCCCGCATCTCCTCCAACTCCCGCTTGAGAGCCCAGAACTCCCGTTGGAAGTCTGTAAACGCGTCATGGCATTCGTAAGCGAGGATAGGGATAGAGAACTTTAAGTGACCGGACCGAGCGCCATGTTGATGGTGAATGCAGAGCACGGATGAATGAAGCAACACAAGTGCGATGAAATGCAAGAAAGTGAAGAACGATGATGAACGAATGGATGATGGTGAAATCTAACAATGAAAAACTGATGGTCGAAACCTCACCTCTAGCTAAGGACAGAATGGGAGATATATATTCACCCTCACAGGACTAGTGGGTATCCTCATTGTTGCAGGTAGGTAGATTTATTACTGTATTATAAGTAGGTAGTTCTTGTGGGATTTTGGGAGGCAGCTTACTGATACAGCATCTTTCACGAACACTTCTGACAAGTGGAGGTAATATGTAAGGATATGAAAGAATATGGTTGGTTGACAAGAGACGGGTAACAGAGAAGCCGAGAGATGTTCGGGGAAACAGGAAAGCTCGGTAAAAGAGGGTTCACCGGGAGTGTATTTTAGGAGACTGCAAGGACTGCTCTTTCATTGTCAATGTATATAAGCCAGATGGTTATGTGAGAAGGAAGTGGAGAAAGCACGGCAGACAGTGTTACAGAACAGAATACGAAACATTGACACCGGTAAAGAACCAGAAGGTCTCGTTTACTGCGCAGAACGAGACACTATCAAGGACGATTCACAATAGTTACAACCCCCAGCTAAACGGCAGAGAGCTTCCGGTGAGCAGCAGTGATGACGTTGGACTATTTAAATTTATCGAAAAAGTGTATCAATACAATTGAGAGTTTCAGTAGGCTTAAGAGGTTTGCATTGATTCAGGTGACTTGCCCTACTTTCTGCAGCCATTCTAGAGTCATACTACTACTTGTAGTATCGCAACAACTATTACTTGGCTCATCCTTCCGCCGCCCCTCACAAACACTCTACCAACAGCCCTACTCAGAGGCCAAAGAAAGAAACGAGACACCGGAAGCAACAATTGACAGCCGCCCAAGAACTCTGACCGCTGGAGGTCCCGATTTCTACACCAAATGCTATTAGATGTACTTTATGCAGATCGCAGCAACTGGCATTTGAACTTACCAAATTTCATAGAGCAGGGACAGCACTACGGGCCCGGATTTCGCGTCTTGCTCTCTCACGGAGAGATTCCAACTCCAGGACAAGAGAATCCTCGGGGACAACTCCAGGCGGACAATGGCCGCCATAAAATTCACTAAAGGTAATAGAAGGGTTTTCCGAGTGATTGCCGCCCGGGGGAAGGATTTCCTGTATATCAAATTGGTAAATTAGTCACATAGTTAGTCTTTAGGGAGAAATTAAATAGCCTTACATAACATTCCCTGGAGGTGGCTCCATTGGGGTGGGCCCGATTGATCCTTAACAGAGCTCCAATCCGGTCCTCCTCCTGATGAAAGAATTTGACCTGGATTACAACACGCACTTGGCCTCCGGACCCTTCTTGCCACAGCATGGCGTCTCGATCTAGCTGTTCTTCCCCCTCGGTCCACCCGGACTCCAATACTACGGTGGGGAATTCAGCATTTGTGGTCCAGTTGGGACCGACCAGAGGCACAAACGTCAAGTCTGCCTCCTTAATTGAATTGATATATGGACCGACGAAATTCTTGTATTCTTAGAAAGCTTGTTAGCAAGATTTCTGCTCTTTAATGGGGCATAATTGGAAACAAACCTGGGGCAGGACTGATATCCATTGTTTGATGCCAAACTTGTGGAATGAGTCCTTGTCCCGATGCCTTCGTAATTGTTGCAAAAAGCCAGGCGGCAGGCACTTCATGCAAACGTGACGGCATGACGACCTTGAGAATTTTATCCGCCGCGAACCAGTGTATTCTGTAATAATTTGTTAGCAGGGCGGAAGACAAAAAAAATGTGAACGGGGGAAGCAAGATGGCCACCGAAATGAATACTGCTCCAGGTGGTTCGTGCGGTGTCGTAAGCCTTGAAGGATCTGGGCGAAATCCTCCGCATCCAGGTCATTAAAGGTTAGGAGATGCTGACTACGTGTCTTAATTGCATCCGTGATTTCTTTGAATATCGTAGCGGCCATGATTTCCCAAGTGTATCTGGTAAAGGAGAACACACAACAGGAGGCGGGGAGGCAGAGAGGGGCTGATAAGACTGGGGGGAGTGGTGCGGGGTGCGGTGTTGTAGGTGTGTTGGGGAGTTCGGTAGTGGGTATTGGCCTTGCTTGGGGGGTCGGTTGCGGCGGACCAGTCGCGGCGGGTCACAGAGCTCTCGTCGATGAGCTGTGACTGTACGCTTGGCAGCAACCACCTATACCGTAAAAACTCGTTCGATTCGCTAGCGCCTGAAGGTCACGAGTACCCCGGTCAATGGCGACATCAGGGCAAGATAGGTTTAGCTTTGCAACTTAAGAGAATTGCGAAACCCAGTTAACAAGATCCCTTCACCCAAATGACTCAAGCTTTACCACGTCAAGTAAGCAACAATGCTTCTTAACCTCTTTTGTCCAGAAATCCCAAGATTAGCGACCTTAAGGTGCTAGCGAATCGAACGAGTTTTTACGATACCTTTTTGCAACCACCTCCGAGCCGCATCTCCACAGAAGAGTGATCCCCCGTATGCTTTGCCTAATTGGCACTGGGTTCTTCCAACCCACTATTTTATGTGGCACCCGATTTCACTTCACGTTCATGATTTGTCTTACGAGGGGGCCTAGCAATAGAATTTAAGAGGCTGAGATCATGGCTTATCTAGTAATAAAAAAGCGAAAATCTGGTGCCCACCCAGCCCTGAATTACGGCTTCTCGAATTAGGATAAATATTAGGTTGGTTGGATAATATAGTTACTAGTACATGACTTCGCCTACGGAGTAACCCCCACCACTACCTTGCGGTCCTGCCTCAATCTTTGTCTACCATGCTGCCTGAGCGTTACGCTTTCCCTGGTACTCAAATGACAAATGTCCTAAGGCCTCAATTTTTGTATTTTCAATGGAATCGTTCAAGTTCTGACCAGGGAAAGCTCTGGTATATGACCGCTATAGATTTCTGGGATCTTGTTTTCCTTTCTGCCGCCCGCTACACTCCTCATCCCTTGCCTGTGCAATCCCATCACCCCTTTATACCTCTTAAAAACCACTATACCCTGTTTCTAATACATTCTCCTAGCTTCTCTTAACTTTTCTTCACTCCCCTTTTATCAACTAGTCTTGTCCCTCCTTTCAAACCCGTGCTATAACCCCTCTCTTGCTAAACATCCCATATGATACCCGGATATAAATGAACCTCCAGAACCTTCCATCCTGCTTACAAATGGAAATATCATAAGCATCACAAATAGGAAACCGAGCTCTGAAGACTCTCGGCATACCCGTGATCGGGCTGGCAGTCCCGGATATCAGGTCCAGTACCGGTGACTTACTATAAACACAGCCTACATTTTTATTAAGGTGAACCGGCCACTAGTCATATGGTCTTGATTGTAAGCAACCATATCACCTGAGATACTACTTGTTTTGATAGTGTTCTGTTTGGCCTGTGAACGGGCAGTTTATAGCATGTTTATCAATGGAGTAGGGAGTTACTGTGAGCTTAAAAGTGTGACGGTTGGGTTGATTCAAGCAAAACCGTGGACATCTCCCAAGCTTGCAATCAGAATACCCCAATCTCCATTGCCAGAGAGGTTGCCACTTGCCAGCTTCCATCAGCAGGCCCCAGAAAACACGCTACCGACAGCCTAGCGAGTACGCAAGAGCCCGAAACGAGACACAAGACACATCAACGTATTGTGTTGAAACCTATGTTGAAACCTGTGAGCAGAGTTCTTGATTCATGTGTGGTTTTAGTTTTTGTCCTGCACTAGTTTTATTTCTCCTTGTCTCATCAACAGCATCTGGCACACGCTTGATACTGATTATTTACAGCCTGTGTCATGTTGAGGAAAAGCTTTTCTAGTTGCCTTTTTGTTGCATCTTTTCCATGGAATAAAAGCAGGATCCTCTATCGCTTATTGTTTTATGGATTATCGGGTCTTTCCCTTTCTAAAATGCCCTCATTCTTTTATCCTGGTTCTCTAGTCAAGCAAAATACATTCGTTTCCTCAGATCAAAATCAAGATATTGAAAATCACCGGTACTCTGAATCACTAGCTTGTTGCCTTAGCTCCATTGAACGAACTGGAGACTTTTCCGGATGTGTTGTATGGTTTGTAAAGCTTAGAAATTAGTTGGTGAGCATGACGGAATATTCTGGAGGTTATTTCATACGAATGTATTTTGGATTGATATGACAGGACAAGGGAATGTAAGGCGCGAGGGAGAAGGACGCGTGGTGATTGGTTACGGAAAGAAGGGTAGACCGAAGCCGGTAGAATATTGCAGAGCAAACAGAAGTGAGGGGTGGAAGGGGAAAGCGGGGTATGACAACGGGGAGCGAGAATTGTCTGGAAGCAAAGGGACATCCCACGAGTGTATATAAAGGCGGGCGTTCTCTCGACTGGAAGAGAAAAAGAGAAACGAGAGCACAGAAAAGACGGTCAACGGAACGCCAGAATAGAGCTACAACCCCCAGTTACACGGCAGATAGCTTCCAGTGAGCAGAAGCGACAACGTTCAATCCGGATTTACAAAACAACGGACCACGCAACAAGCCTCCCCACCGCCCGATCGCCCACGTTGGGACCGTTCGAAGGGCAGGACTCCTACAGCGAATATTATTACATATACATTAGAGAATTCGTAGCAACCCGCCGGAGAACGTACCACATTTACTCATCCGGTACGGCAGCACGGGCCCGGATTTCGCGTCGCGCTCGCTCACGCAGAGACTCTAGGTCCAAGGTGATGGAATCTTCGGGGACAACACTAGGAGGACAATGGCTACCGTAGAATTCATTGAATGTAATCGAAGGGTTTTCAGGGGGATTTCCGTCCGGTGGAAGGATTTCCTGTATATCAATATGGCAAATTAGTAATAGAATCAATATTAGAGGAGAAATACAATAGCCTTGCATAGCGTTGAGTGGAAGTGGTTCCATTATGACGGGCCCGATTTATGATTAACCGAGCTCCAATCCGGTCATCTCGGCGGGAAAAGAATCTGACCTGAATCACAACCCTCACTTGCCCGCCAGACCCTTCTTGCCACAGTCTCGCGTCCCGATTTAGTTGTTCTTGGGGCTCAGTCCACCCGGACTCCAATACTACGGTCGGGAATTCTCGGGCTGTGGTCCAGTTGGGACCTACGAGTGGGACAAATGTTAAACCTGCCTCCTTACTTGAATTGCTATAGGGACTGATGAAATTGTTGTATTCTGGTGAATCACATTAGCGAGATTGCTGCAGGTCAACAGGGCACAGTCGCAATTGGCAACAAACCAGGGGAAGGACTGATGTTCATTGTTTGATGCCAGATTTGTGGAATCAGTCCTTGTCCCGATGCTTGTGAAATCGTGGCAAACAGCCACGCCGCAGGGCACTCGTGCAAGCTGGAGGGCATTATGACCTCGGGGATTCTATCGGCGATGAACTGGTAGGTTTTGTGTGCAATTTCTAGAATTGCGGAAGGTAGGAAAGAAAATGGAGAGACACGGGTGCAGTAAACGCGCGTTTACCTACAGACGGCCGTCTGGCACGCGTTGACGGTGGCTACCGTCAAGGGGGTCTTAATGGTCGGTACCAGGAGGGGCTAAATTCTCATTCTGTGTTTACCTAAGGTGCCTTTTACAGTACTGCAACATCTACCACACCGTCCCAGTGTGAATCAAATTTTTTTTAAAACCTGTCACGCGATGAGAATTTTCAGCTCCCTATTCCCAACTTCCTCACCCTTTCCACCATTTCTAACCAATTAAAATCTTAGGCCCATATACCGCCCAACTACCACCAGTGTTCCGAACTGTCCAGTCCGTCCGACTTGGAGCTAGGACCGGACGGACAGCCAGTGGTAGTGCGTCGATTTTCAAGTCTATGGGCAGTCTAGGGCAAGTGGAGGTAGGACAGGACGTCCTACCTGCCTCTGTGCAGATTTTCTGTTACATCTCTTTCCCTAGTATGCTCAGAAACTTCAAATTCATGATTTCATCTCATGCATTTTTTGTGATCACTGCTAGTAGCTCAAGAGTCGGAGCAAGCATCCCGCTCTGTACGCTGGAGAGGGCGCTTGCACTATCGCTGTAGGAAAGTTCTTATAGTGGTTGCAGATATCCGGATTCTAGAGGGTCAATTTAGTTTCCTGGTAATCCCGCTGGGAAGCGCTAGGCATTATGCTGTATGTCAAGATCCGCTGTACCAGTCCTCTGGCTTTCATTGCGATATCACCGCTGTGACAATAATTAAAGAGAAAGTCTTTTGGGACGGTTTGAGAGAGAAAATTAGGCTCATCATAGTGGAATGATTGCTTTAGCCTCATCTAGATACTCTGAGCACCCGATGATCTATTTAACATTCCTTTTATTGTAGACATATCGTTTAATGTGTCGGTCACAAAGCATAGTTTGTCTGCAGCCCCTGGCTGTCATTTCCCATGCCTGCCTTCTGTGTACCCCCCCCCGCAGTCCTTACTTACACCCTGTAGTCCCTGCTTACACAGTGCAGTATTTGGATAACCCCTATTGACCCCTGTGTAGCCCTGGGTGCCCAGCCATCTCCTCTGCTGTCCGCCCAAGCAGCTACTTTCCCCTGTGCCTCACTATCCGAATACCGGACTAGCGTGTAGGGCCCTGCGGTCCCAGCCTGGCCCGGCAGTTCCTCTAAAAATTTGCCCCACATAGGACCACAGATAGCGGTCTCCTCTGGTCTCATCTTCTTGGAATTATCCCCACCGTCCCTGCGGGGCCCCTTGACGGTTCGGAAACACTGATTACCACCTACAATGGCTCGCTGCAAGCGAAAGAATCTTTAGGAAATACTCCTTATATCTTTCTTCTAGTGGTACTTCACTTGCTTCGCTGCGATACCGGTAGTCCAAATGCGCCCCGGAGCCACCAAAAAAAAAGGGATCACGAAGGTAGTTAACAATAGTTCCACGAAAAGCTGTGCTGATTAGTGGTTGTAGTATAGCCATGGTGGGTGTGACAGGTCCCAGGCATAGACAGAATGTACCGTATCTACTGGTTTATTTCGACTCGGCGCTAGCGACAGCTAATCTG